TGAAAACTGCAAACGCAAACATTATCTCTGTTCCGGAATGAGATTCCTATTGAGGTTGCTAACACAAGTGACATTTTATGCAAAAATGAGAGCAAGACCTGTCGTGAAGAGATTGGGGTAAATCATTATTGCTGCCGGTGTATGCGAGGCCTAAAACGCGAAAGCATCGATTTCTTGCCGATTTTTTGTTCACAAGATGCACAACCGCAGGAAAGCGCTACCTCATAGATCCCAAAAGGCTGTTAAATATAGCTGAAAAACCTTCCAGGCAGTATTCTTCTTCATGTTCCCAATAAGGGCGGTTAAGAAAACCATAAGGTACCCTCAATGGAAAAGAACGACTTTACAACAAACTACAGCTAAATACGACACACATGAAAGATATGAAAGTAACATAAAGAATTTATATAACTCCTCGAATAAACTGAAAGGCTCAGATATCTGGATATCTGCAAGGTCCAGCCTACTTTGCAAGAAAAAAAACCTCGCTCAAGGTTCGAGCAGCAGCAGATGTTTTGCGAATTGAGGCGACCAGGCCTGCGCGTGGTCCGCAATCACCCAAACACATATAATTGACGATAAAAGCTTCTGCTTGCTTAATATAATACGTTTGTTTAGTTTAATATCAGTAGAAAGCAGCTGGGATAGAAGGATGCTGAAGTGTCCACATCGAGTTTTTTTCCCTTTTACTCAAAATCAGAAATTGAGCGTCATTTCAGCTGGATTTCAGCTGAATTGGCGTATAGTTGCTACTTCCCTCTTTTGCTCTGCTCATAAAGGAATGAGGAAAAAGATGCATAGAATTTTTTTCCTTTTTTCGAGCGCAAATCTTCTTTCAGATTAATTAATACCATTCTTAAGAAAACTAATAAAATCCTTACTTTAAAACTGGATTTGCAAAAGTCATTATTCATAAATCGTTGCTACTGTTGTTGAGAAACATGTTTGACATTAGTAAAATAGGCATTTCCGAAGTATCAGGTAATCTTAACTACTTTAAAACAGCCTCGTCGTAGAATTTTTAGGTCATCGCTGATGATTTGTTATCTCGATATCTGGACTCTGCTGTCCAGTAATGGTTAGGATTGTTCTATGAAAAAATTGAGAAAGATAACCAGGGCGAATTATCATCTCGTACATCGAAGTAGGAGTATAGCTGTCAGCAGTGATGGTAGCATACTTGCTTACAAATATAAACTGCTCTCATAAGCTTATGGCCAATCATTAATGGATTAGTGTTGATGTTCAAGCGCATATAATGGAATTGAACTTCAAACTGCGTCATCTCTGTCTGATAACATGCTTGCAGGATATACAGGTGTATGACTTAAATTAGAAGTTTTAATAAAGAAGTAAAGTCTTTTACTGATCTTCTTTTCCATCAAAAGCTGTTATTTTATACAATTTTAGAAAAGGAATTCATTTTTTTATAACAATTTGGTGGTGTTCTGTTCTTTGGGTTTTTGATACTTATTCATCAAATATTGAACTTAAGGGTGCCAAGATAGTTTTGCTAGCACCATATCACGAAATGCTGACATCCAGTACCTCTACTGGCTTGTAATGCGGTTTCAAGTATTATCCCTAATTCTAGATTTGGTGTAGTATGTGGAAGTACGCGATATGTGTGCTGAAGTACGCAACTATAGCGTCTCTTTTAATTTTAATATTTGCGTCCTACAACTTGGCTGCCCAAGGATACCAGAATGCCTGACGGATATGAAACTTACAGCAGTGTAGTTCAATCTCCTCTTTAATTCGAAAGAAATGCCAA